AATTTATTATAGATCAATATTATTTTAATATTATTTTAATATTATTTTGATATCAATTTATACTTTTTAAAATTTTAATTTACAGCTAGATATATTATTTAATTATTTTTTAAAAAATTGTTTAAAAATATCAAAAAACTTATATTATATTTTTAATATTTAAAATTATATGTTATTACAATTATTAGTATTTATTGCTATTTTGATTATTTGTTTAAAATGACAACTGTAGAAATAATCTATTATTAAATTAAATTAAAATCTTTTTAATAACTAGTAAAAAGAAACATCATATATTATAAAATAAAATTTATCAAACTATCTAATTAAAAATAGATATTATATTATCTTTTTTATAGTATTATAATTCTAATGCCTATTGAATCAATATAACAAAATGATTTATATAAAAAACAATACTATAACAAGTTATAATATCAAATATTATATAAATTAAATACATTTATCTAAAATTGAATTTGATGTTTTTGTAATACAGATCTAAAAACACTACCCACTATGCTATTGATTCATTTTATTATATTATTTTTATTAAGCTTATTTTGTTATTTTTGTTAAACTTATTTTAACATATTATTTTTATTTAAATCAATTTTAAATATAACCTTGTTTAATTTTTACATTTATTAGTACAGCCGTTAATGGTAATATGCTTTCCAATTTGGTATGACCGTTTCCAGAAATTCTGTTACCTATTAAAAAATTCGAGGTATGGTAGAATATTTATTTTGTTTTTCAACTTAAAATCAATGTGATTCGTTATATATCCTTACTTTTGAGTTAAGATGAAGCGTTAATCATTAAAGTAGGGGTGAAGGAAAAGCGAAAAAGAGATTAAGAAAACGGTGTATAAGCATTTTTTTTTTATATTAAACTCACGATTACCTTTAGAGCTTGGATTCCATTATTTGTTTGTTTTTCCCTTTTTCATTATTTCCCTCTTCATAAATCGCATTACGAATAATTCCGTCACACACACTGCTATTCTTTTCACATGATTCTTTAGACTGTTGACGACATATAAAGTAAAGAATTTCTTTTGCTATCGGTTTGTTTTCAAAAGTGAGTAAAAATTGTAGAGAGAATGTATAGAAAATTACTCTCGATAAATCAGATCCCGTTATAGACATACCGGTTTCTTTAGGCTTTTCCATTACCACCTATAATATGTATGTGCGTAAATAAACGATACATAATAATGTCTAAGATAATAATTAAAGATTATCTTACCAAATGCCCTGTGTCAAGAATTATCAAATCACCATGTTTACATCTAGACGCCTTAAACAACGCCAAGTCTAGCGGACTTTGTACAATAAATTTAGATGATTTTGGCATCAAACTCAGTATATATACATGTATATACAGTATGTATTATATCATTATTTACTTGATTGTGGTAGATTTCTTGCCGGTGATAAACAATACTGGACATTGAATTTCGTGTAACCTCTGAAACGTTTCTATAAGAGTATCTGAATCGTGCGTGAATGTGTACTAAATTATTTAGAAAATGTAAGTTATCAAAAGTCTTTGATGATTTCAAAAGACTTTTGTAAGCAATTACTATACATGTTCTTGAATTTTGGGGCATTTAAGAGTAACCTCTCCTGAAGGCAAATCACGTAAACCATATTTCTATAATCAAATCATATCCTCGTTGGTCAATACAGTTCTCACAGTAATATGCAAAAGGTTTAAAATTTTAGAAAAATGGAGACTTACAATATGAATATTTAGTACTTCGGGGTCCCAGCTTTTGAAAAAATTATGTTTGAGAAAACTTTCTTTTGCCGCATCTCTTGAGGATTAAGTCAAGAGTTAGCATGAGAACGTCAGCTATTTGCTATATTTCCTTGTAAGAGGTAGAAAGATAAATACCTATTTTGCCAAGTATCTTTTCGTTTTAAGGCAAGTTGAAAGGATGAAATTGCAAACTCTTTCGATTTATATGGGTAAAGTACAGGATCGATCGCTACGAGAGATGAGAAAGTGCCGGGACGAAGTATTTCTGCCATTAATCTGTCAACATAACAGAAATTACGTTATAACCCAAAATAATATTGGTACACATAAGGACCGAGGAATTACATTGCACATCCTCCTAAAGAATGCCCGACTCCAACGATGGGTCCTTTGATATTAAAATAATCTATAACTTGAAGAATGTCTCGGGAAAGATCAGACCAGTTATCTGTTCCATATACAAGACAAATCATTATTGACAATTGAAATATTTCATTTAACATTTCCATAATGATAAAAAAAAGTCAACTTACAAGAATCAGGAAGAATATCTTGATTCGCCACGGCGCTATCGCCTTGATTCGAACCATCTAAAGCCCACATAGTCCCACCATTCCACCTTTCTCTTTTTTCGTTCAAACCATTTATAACAGGTTCGTAAATTTCTTTGTGAAATCCATTGGCAGCGGCAAATATAATCGTTGTTTTCTCGCAAGAAGTTTCTTTTTCAAAACCCGGACCTTCAATGGGATCATAGGAATTTACGGCAATAAGAAGTTGACCACCATTATTGCCATATAACCTCCGAATTGATGAGGCGGGAATAATATGAGAAGTAATTTTAAGCGCATTCATCCTTTCTTAAAATTTCAAAAAAATTTACAGAAATTGTCAGTCTTATAAGGCCAGGGAGGTATCGTAATCTCCAATTTAGGAAATCGAAAAAGAATTTAACAATGCTTAATAATGCTAAAACCGTTGATTGGTTAAGGTAGCACGTTGGAGATGTTACGACGGTTTGACTGATGCAAAGCCTCTAGAAGGACAACGCGATTTCCAAGTTAGGAAATCATTTAGTAATGCAGAATAAATCTTGACTAATATGTAAATAGCTTCTTACAAAAAGATGACGTCTCAATTATGCATATTAATGATGGTAAACTTTTTTTGGAAATAATACTGGTTGATACTCTCCATATAAAAAGCCAAACTTTCCAAAATCCTAAGGTTACACCCTGTATGGAAACCACGTATCGTACGGCATAAAAAAAACTTTTTTTAACTGGCATTCCTACATCTAAGGATGTTAAAAAGTCCCAATTCGGTTTCATATGAGAAGGTGGTGACAGCTGGATCGTCACCGTTAGCTCGTTAGCTCCGAGTTCCCTACAGGTTACACTAATTAAATAATACAGTGCATAATGTTTCGGATCATGTGACAAAATAGACAGGTTTGGAGTCGGACTCGGGAAAACTCAGCCCAAGCGGACCCAAAAACCGACTTCATCCGAACCTTTTAACATCCAGAAGCTTTTGATGTAAGCATATTATTATAAACACATGCTAGTGAATACTCAATAATATGATAACACATCTAACAACGTAATCAGAACACTCGAGTAACGCGATAGGGTTTACTATTTAATATTAAGCTTTATTTAATGATTTTGAGAATACAATGGTCTCTTTCTTTTATAATGGTACAAAGCTTATATTTATATATGCGTGTTTATTGTTTCGTGCTTTCACGCATTTCGAATTATCTACATCATTCTAAATCATTAAATTATGTAACGCGATATTGCATTCGCATCTACTCACCACTCTAACCACAACATTAGTTTGCGCGAAATTATCTAGATGTGACGATATATAGTATGTTCGTACATAGGAGTTTTAATAAATGTAGTTCATTAGAAAAATTTGATAATGTTAATTTGTATTTCCAATGGGTGAATTAAACTTCTAAGACGGGTTATTAGTTTTTATACTACCTTTTCTAAATAAACGTAATGGTTTATAATAATTATCCATAGAAATGCCGCTTGTATCGTTGTTCTTACACAGAATCACGCGGCAGTCATATTGTGGAGTTGACTATTGACCTTTAATGACGAACCGTTTGATTTGAAGTACTAATCATATTATGTTAAGTTAATATACAAAATTATGTAAAGCAAAAATCGCATAAAATTCCGATCGACCATTAAACTAAAATCAAATTAGTGTGTAGACAAAAGATTTACCAAATTCTTTTTTTTTCTCCTAATGAATAAATTAATAGAGTGATGATTCGATCCCTGGACTCCAGGTTATACTGTATTTCCACGTGATTGTAACCTCACCTGTAAACCAATGTTCTTTAATAAGGCAAGTAACTTGGAATCTGGTAACACATTAAGCACGGAGAGGAGATTATCGGAGCCGGAGATTCGGTTGGATTAGAAAAGTTAGGGGATTGATAAATAGAATTTACGAAAACTTTTATCAATTGTAATAAATTGATAAAATTTCACATGCTCATATTATTCCATTGTAGACAATACTCTATATTTCTTATCGTGGGACACTTTTACCATTTGCCATCTGATCTGGAAATGGGCAGCTATTTCTGATTTAGGAGTCTGTAACTCCGAAATCCGAAAACTTTGTCCCTCCGAAAATAATTGAACCGTATCAACAGAATTTTCATGTGTCACGAGGAAACGCGTTGCGCGAAATAGTAAATGATTCCTTAAATTTCCTCCGTAAAGATTGCTTTGTGGAAATTTATACAGTAGATCTCAAATATCATAAACACATGACCCAAATAATTTGAATCATTAAATCAACTACCTGAACGATGAGTGCTTCACAACCTCTGAGGAATAGGGACCCTAGGAAGGTACGTTCGTACGCATTGATGACCAAATACAAAACAATAAGGAGTTGCAAAGAAGGATCGAACATAAGCCGCTTCGATTCTTGCTAGGGATTGGAATAATAACAGAGGGAAATTTTTACTTTTGTGTTTCCGTTTCTTTGGACAGAGATTTTGCTTTGGGAAGAACAGACAAGAGAGAGATCCTGATTGAGAAAAAGATGCTATGAATCATACAACAAATCTGTAATTTAATCGATAAGTGTCATCATCAGCTGGTCTGTTGGTTATTTTAGAATTACGAGATCATTCTTTTACTCAATTTCGAGTCTTTGAGGATGGTTTTAAAGAACAATCGAATATTCAATCAAAGACTGCTCATGCAATGCTAACTTGATCACACTTCAGGTTTCGGATGTTCTTACATCATAAGTCGAGGGAGTTTAAAGGTTACAAGGTCATTGAATACACCGAAGAGTATACATCAAAGACATGTGGGAATTGTGGATTCGTAAAAAATTATCTTGGTGGATTAAAAACGTTTAAATGTGATTCGTGTGAGGTGGAGATGGATCGGGACGCGAATGGTGCCAGAAATATCTTGCTCAAATATTTAGCGGAAGATCGAGTTTTAGCCTGACTTCGGAACTTGAACCTATATAGAATACGATATGCATAGTAAAGACTAGCTTTATTCATTCATATTGGACTCAACTTCAAGGGTATTCATTATCTTATTCTATCTATACTTCTTCAATTGTCGCAACTTCTTCCTATAAAAAAATTTTTTTTAATGATTTAGAATAATAAAACTAACTATCTTTTTAATATTAATAAAATAATATATGATATTTAAAAACTTTTTTTCTTTAATAGTACTGTTTATTAAATCCAAATGTTAAGAAGTCAATAAATTAATAATAACCTTATTAATTATTTAAAATAAGAAAATATATTAAATGACTTTATTTTATTTTATTTTATTTTTTGCCTTTAATCAGACTGCAAGAGTTGCGTTTATTCATCCAATTTTGAAAACAGTAGTACAATATATATAATACTATACTAAAGCTAAACTATCACATAATTTGCAGAACACCTGTCAATGAATTTAGATTTGTACATGATCCTTGAATCCTTAATACCAAGACCACCATGTTGCCCACAATATATTAAATGACTTTATAAACTCTATAAAATTATAAATTAAAAATAAAATAATTTTTTTAAAAAAATTTTTGGCCTTTTATAAAAAATATTATAAATACTTATTATAGATAATGATTTTCATTTTATTTAAAATATTAAATAAAGTTCTTAACTGTATATAAATATTTTTAATATAATAATAATTTTAAATATTTAAAAAATTTAAAAAATAATAAGATTAGAAGTTAATTGTTTATTTTGACAACCTCTATAATGTATGATTATTGTTTCTTAATTTTAAGCCATACTACCAATAGCTATTTTTCCATAACTATAATTAAAAAAATTTATTAAATATTTATAAATAAATTCAAAGTTACTATCTTATAATAAATTTATTATTTAAGACTAGAATTAATTTACATTGTAAAGATTTTTTAATATTTGATAACAAATGAAAGTTTAATAAAAATCTTATATTTAATACTTATTAAAAAAAACAATAAATTTATTGTTTACCTATAGGTAAAGATGGGTCTCTAAATTAAAGATGTGGATATAATTCAAATGTCTCTTACTATTAAAAAAGTTTTTTTTTAAATATAAGGTCAAAAAAAAACTACTTACAAAGGTTTTTTGCAATTTAGGCCA